AGTCAGAGTTGCAGCGGACCTGCAGGTTTCTGGGAGTTTGTTCCAGATATTTGGAGCATAATAACTGAACGCTGCTTTACCATGTTTAGTTCTGACTCTGGGGACAGAAAGCTGACCAGTCCCTGAAGACCTGAGAGATCTGGATGGTTCATAATTTAGCAGGAGGTCAGAAATGTATTTTGGGCCTAAACCATTCAGTGCTTTATAAACCAGCAGCAGTATTTTGAAATATATTCTTTGACACACAGGAAGCCAGTGTAAAGACTTCAGAACAGAAGTGATGTGATCCACTTTCTTAGTGTTAGTGAGGACTCGAGCAGCGGCGTTCTGAATCAGCTGCAGCTTTCTAATAGATTTTTTAGTGAGACCTGTGAAGACACCATTGCAGTAGTCCAGTCTACTGAAGATAAAAGCATGGACAAGTTTTTCCAAATCCTGCTGTGACATTAGTCTTTTAATCCTAGATATGTTCTTTAAGTGATGATTTAGTAACTGTTTTAATGTGACTGTTGAAACTCAGGTCAGAGTCCATGACTACACCTAGATTTCTGGCTTTATCTGTTGTTTTGAACATTGCAGGCTGAAGCTCAGCGCTAACTTGTATACGTTCTGCCTTGGCTCCAAAAACCATTACCTCAGTTTTATCTTTATTTAATTGGAGAAAGTTCTGACACATCCAGTCATGATTTGTTCAATGCACTTACTCAGTGTTTGAATTGGAAAATAGTCTCCTGGTGAAATGGTTATGTACATTTGTGTGTCATCCGCATAGATATGCTAACTTATTTTGTTGTTTATCATTATCTGAGCCAGTCAGAATCAATATAGAATTGTTTTATTTTAAAGTAAATTCAGATTGAACATAGTAAAAAAATGTAAATTATAGTGTCCGTCCAAAAAAAAAACATTACTTAAAGTGAAAACTACCCTGGCTTGAATGATGGGATAGTAGACTAAAAGCTTTAGGAATCCAAACTATAACATATAATAAGTACCCTGTATCAAGATTCATGCAAAACAAGTGACGTTTTACCTTTTTTTTAAAAAAAAAATTAGAAAAAAAACCCACTTCTGGGGTCATTTGGGTGCATTTTCCATATCTCTGGCCCCCCTCAGTCGATTTTGATGATTGACAGCTCTTTTGAACCGTTAGAGCCAATTGAATTGAGGGGAAGTTCCTAAAATCCATCTAAACATTACCCATTGGTGAATAGAGTGATGCGTAGCCAGAATGCCCAAAACCGGAAGCTGTCATACACTCTCGTAGCAGCTAATAAGAAATCTCCGTTATTGACATAAATATGAAGATGGATTATCAGTAATCATTTCAGACACATTGGATTAACCTATGGATTAACCTTCAGCAGCGTTTTTATCGTTGTAATGCCATTGAACACAATTTTTGATCAGAAACAGCAAAAGGTCAATGTCCCGTTTTTGCTACCTAAAGCTACGTTGTGTGATGTCTGGTTTTGCTTCCCATGCCGCGAGTTCTGGTCGCTCAGTGATAATACTTATATTTCTGGAATCTGTGGCATCTCAGCTTGATAATCGATATATTGTTGTGTAGATCCGATAAATAAACCGTGAGTTCTATGCTAAGTGCGCTCAGGGCTAATTCAGAGCCTTTGTTATTACCCTTGTGTTTCTTTTAGCTATAAATGGTTAATATTGTCTGATAGCTGAGTTTCTTCCCGTTAAGTGGATATGACACATTCATAGTTTATTAAATGTTAACAAGACCTCAGACCAGGCTTGGATTTTCGTCATTGTAGGGGCAAGGCCATTTGGCCTTTGGTGTCACACATTTTTTCAGGGCGCAAAGGCCACATGCCAGGGCACAAAGACCATTGAGGGAAACATTTGGATTTGACAAATACATAACTTCACACTCTGATAAGAAAAACACACGAATGACAAGGAAAACAAATCGCTTTTTGAATATCAATAATGTCAAACATTATATCATCAAAAGGCCTATGCCTCCTTAGTATTACCGTATATAAAATGAAATACTCTACTTTTAATAATTAGTGTTTGGTATTTTTTCCATCAACTACTGACAAATCCAAAATAAAATCTAAAAAGCTATTAATGTGTAACAAATATATTCCATTTCAGAGCAGAAGAAACAGCCTTCAAGGGACAAACTCTGCACATACATCATTCAGCAGTGTACAGTGAAGCTCCAACATTCAACTGTATGAACAAGCAATACTTTGAAATGCAAACGTGTGTGTGTGTGTGTGTTGTGTGTGTGTGTGTGTGTGTGTGTGTGTGTGTGTGTGTGTGTGTGTGTGTGTGTGTGTGTGTGTGTGTGTGTGTGTGTGTGTGTGTGTGTGTGTGTGTGTGTGTGTGTGTGTGTGTGTGTGTGTGTGTGTGTGTGTGTGTGTGTGTGTGTGTGTGTGTGTGTGTGTCTCTTTATTCAACTCCTCACAGGTCACAGCTCCTCATATCTGTTCAGAAACTAGACAAAAGTTAAACATGTACAAACCTCAGACTGTCTGTGTCATGACGAATACAGTCGCTGCTTTAATTCTGTCTTTAGGACGTTGTTGTGAGTTTGGACGGAGCAGAAACAGGTTAGTTTAGCCTGATCTGATCGAATGGAGATCGCTCCATTCAGAGAACATGCATTTTAAAAGTTGTTCGCCTGCCGTCTTGTCTGCACACTTGTCATAAGCACACTTTTCGGCATCATTTTGAAACGTGTATTACAATTAAATCACGGTAAAATAGGTTAATTTTGCCGTAGTTGGTTTCCACCACAGTATTTATATGGGTATAAGCCCCGCCCCCTCTCCAGCACGTCCTGTTTGAATGACAGGAGTAAACACAGCTGACAGCCGCGGTGAAACTCCAGCGGTTAGAGCAATGAGAATATTCGCATCGCGTCCGTTGTGAACGCAGCATAATGCAGTTTAGAAACCACTGTTCTGACGCTTTTAAAGCAACTTCGAGATTTTAACAGTATCAGGCGCACACAGGCCATGGTGGCCGTAGGACGTACAATTATTTTCGGGGCTTCACGGCCAGACCGAGGGGCAATGACGGCATGGCCGTCATGGCCGCCAGTGAAAATCCTACCCTGCCTCAGACGCTGTTTCTCTTTAAGTGGTTAAAGAGAAGAGGCCCCAAGATGGAGCCTTGAGGAACCCCACATGTCATACTTGTCAACTCAGATGTCTATTTACCTGTAGAAACAAAGTTTGTTCTTTAAGTAGGACTCAAACCAATTTAGAACTGTTGCTGAAAGTCCCACCCAGTTTTCTAGTCGGTCTAGTAATATGTTGTGGTCAACAGTGTCAAACGCAGCACTGAGATCTAATAATACTAACACTGAAGTTCTGCCACTGTCTGTTTAGGTGGATTTAATTGAAGACCTTTACAAAAGCAGTCTCAGTGCTGTGGATTGTACGAAAGCCTGACTGGAACACATCAAAACAGCTATTTAAATGCAAGAAGTTACTCAACTGTTGAAAAAACACTTTTTCAATGATTTTACCTAGAAATGGGAGGTTTGATATGGGCCTGTAATTGTTCATTACTGAAGCATCTAGATTATTCTTTTTTAAGAGCGGTTTAATGACTGCAGTTTGCAGGGCCTGTGGAAAAACACCTGAGTGAAGAGACTTGTTTACAATATGAAGTAGATCTGAGTCCATGCAATGAAAAACATCTTTGAAAAATCCTGTTGGAATAATATCAAGGCAGCAGGAGGAGGATTCCAGAAGTTGTATAATGTCCTCTAGGTTTTTATCATTAATCTGATGGAATTGTGTCATGGTGTTTGAATTGATATTAGGTGGACACAGGGACAACGCATTTGCTGTACCTGATGCAGAGGCACTGACTTGCTGGTGAAGTGTGACATCTGTTACAGGTATCCGTGACATTAGGGTATATTTTGGAGAGTATAGAGTTGGTGTAATAGATACGGTGGACAACTTTAAGTTGTATAAGATTGAGCCTGGAACAGGGCGTACTATTGTTCACTCTCGCTAATGCGCCATCCCAGACCTCATCATCTATTGCTTGGACTAGTTCATCTTCCCAATCTTGTTTGATTTTACCAAGAGATGTTTCTGTGGGACGGGAGATGGAATTGTAAATTCTTGAAACCAGACCTTTTTCAGTTGTTGGAGTGTCCAGAATTGAGTCAATTGTTGTTGATGTTGATGTAAAGGTCCCTTACTCTGATAAGGCCTAATCTCTGCCACAGAAGGCCCCATCAGTGTAAGGGGGAGAAAGAGATGGTTGTTGCGAATGGGACTATGAATAGAGGATCCATGATGTCCATGAGCACTTCTAAATTGGGACCATATTCTCAGGGTGGAAACAACTATCGGGTTATTCGAATATTGAGCTAGCCGGCTGGGTAATGCAGATGTAAGCAAAGCCAAAAGTGAGGTAGTAGGACAGGATTTGGCTTCAAGCTCACACCAACTCTATGTTGGTTCCTTAATTCATAGAATTATTTTGTGGATATTGGCTGCCAATAGTAGTGTCTTATGTTTAGAAGCGCCAATCCTCCTGTATATTTGATTTGATATGATTTGATATACTTTATTAATCCCCGTGGGGAAATTGTTCTCTGCATTTGACCCATCCTAGTGTTAGGAGCAGTGGGCTGCCATTTTGAACAGCGCCCGGGGACAGATCTGTGCCTTTGTAAAAAGTTCTCTCCTAATTCTAGTAGTCTTCCCTTGCCATAAAAAAGAGGAGGTGTGTCTATTTTACAATAGGGTATTTGGGTAGGAAGACATTTTTAGATTTTTTTTAATCAATTTAGCCACAGTATAATCTCCAATGTCTGCCCCACTATTCACACATAGCCTTAAAGAAGTTGAAGTAAGATTGTAGCCTCTGGAAACGTAATAAATATATGCAAACACACACCACCTAATACTGAAAGCGACCCCTGTGTGGCTTTTAATAATCAGACAGAAGAATAACAGAGCAGTGGATTCACTCTGTGTGTGACTTGAATCTGTTTAAGGATGACAGTGAGAAAAAGCCTCCTGTGGTTCTTCAGCCCAAACCCTGGAGACAGCCCCCAGAGGTGAAACCCAAACCCACCATCACCATTCCTAAAGCCCCGACACACAGGGAGGAAGAGGAGGAAGACGAAAAGTTAATGAAAGAGCTGCAGGTATGTGGTTTCCTAAAACTCAATTTCAGGAACATGTTAGAGCAGCTGGAAAACATATTTAGCACCCATTACATTCTCTGATCCCCTCTGACTCTGTATCGCGCTAATGTACTAGCACTTAGAATGGATTGGCTTAGTAGAAGTTAAGGTATTAGCGCGTAGAAGGGAATGGCTTTGTTGAAGCTAATGTACTAGCACTTTGAATGGTTTGGCAGAGTTCTCGGGCGGACGGCCCGGGGGCAAGGTAGAGTTCATGGTGGAGTTCTCGGGCGGACAGCCCGGGGGCAAGGCAGAGTTCGAAAAGTCAGGAGGCCGGGCTCGAGGGCGAAGACCACAGCTGGAGAACTCAGGAGGCAAGAAGGTGGCGACGGGATAGCTCTGGAGGAGCGACGTACGCCGCAATGGGACCCCTCCAGTGTCAGCTGGATCGCCGGAGCACTGGGATCGAAAGCAGGAGCTGGTGGGACAGGCGTAGACGGAACTCTGGACGGAACAACTGGCTGGTGTCAGTGGGACCCCGGACGGAGCAAAAGCTGGTGTCGACGGGACCTCCAACATGACAGGACATGGTGTTGGCAGGAAATCCGGCGGAGCAGGTGTCGGCGGAACCCCCAACAGGACAGGATATAGTGTTGGCAGGAAACCCGGCGGAGCAGGTGTCGGCGGGACCCCCAACAGGACAGGACATGGTGTTGGCAGGAAACCCGGCGGAGCACGTGTCAGCGGGACCCCCAACGGCACAGGACATAGGGTTGGCAGGACCCCCAGCAGAAGAGTAGTCGGCGGGACCCCCAACGGGACAGGACATGGAGTTGGCAGAACCTCAGACGAAACAGGTGTCGGCCGGACCCCCAACGGCACAGGACATAGGGTTGGCAGGACCCCCGGCAGAAGAGTAGTCGGCGGGACCTCCAACGGCACAGGACATAGGGATGGCAGGACCCCCGGCAGAAGAGTAGTCGGCGGGACCCCCAACGGGACAGGACATGGAGTTGGCAGAACCTCCGACGAAACAGGTGTCGGCCGGACCCCCAACGGCACAGGACATAGGGTTGGCAGGACCCCTGGCAGAAGAGTAGTCGGCGGGACCTCCAACGGCACAGGACATAGGGTTGGCAGGACCCCGGGCAGAAGAGTAGTCGGCGGGACCTCCAACGGGACAGGACATTGGGTAGGGACTTGAGAGGGGACTCGAGAGGTGACTTGAACCATGGCTGCTGGGCACGGAACACGGAACCGGAACACAGAACCATGGCTGTGTGGGATGGTACTGGAGCACGGTACCATGACTGTGTGGGCCGGCACTGGAGCACGGAACCATGGCTGTGTGGACCGGTACTGGAGTACGAGTACGCTGGCTTCCTGACCTTGCGTTTTTTAGAGATCTTTTGGAGACTCCGTGGACCTCCAAACGCCAGGCGGGATCCAAAAAAAGGGTCAGAAAATGGAGACTGGAAAGGAACAGAGGGCCGAGAGGAACAAGATGGCAGCCTGAGCTGAGAGCTCCGCACAACCTCAGTGATTAATTTGAGTTTTTTACCTCCACTCTATTATTGACTATAGTTAAGAGTTGACATCTAAGGAAAGACTCCTGCTACAAAAGGAAAGAAAAAGAAGGAAGGATGCCAATAAAAAACCCACGAGGCAACCAAGGCCTACCAGAACCGGAGGATGAGTCTCAAGAGGATGATAGAAATCCTTCGTTTGCTGAGATAATGTCCGAGTTAAAATCTCAACGTTCTGAGATAATTACTCGTCTCGATGGAATTAATAATCGTTTGGAGATTGTGACTTAGTCAAGTCTCAACAATGAAAGAAGCACTAGCTACAACAAACCAGGCCCTTGAGAATCAACTTCAGCGTATGGACGAAGCTGAACAAAGAATTTCGACATTAGAAGACACCTAAACTACAGCACGGGACCTTCACAGAGCCGACAAGTTGATAAAGAGGCTGGAATCTAAGACGGATGATCTCGAAAATAGAGGGAGACGTAAAAACCTTGTTTTACTAGGGCTCCCAGAGAAGTCAGAAGGCAGCCAATTACTACTTCAATATATTCAACAAAAACTATCTTCCTGGCTCAAACTCTCCCTCGATCAGAATCTAGAGTTGGAGTGGGTTCACCGCTCTCTACGACCATATCCCGAACCAGGGAAGCCTCCAAGACCAATTATGATCCGCTTTCTACGAGTCAGAGATAAATAAATGATACTGCAGTCTGCGAAGAAAATGTCAATCCACGAGGGTAATGCTAAACTCACCATTCGCCAGGATCTGTATGCAGAGGTACGCCGAAAGTATTCTCCGTATTCTTCACAAAGAGAAGATTGTGTTTTTTGAAGACCCCAAAGAAGCCGACACCTTTGTCAAGCAGCTGCAGTAAGTCGCTATTTTTCTAACCTACCGGAGTGGAGGTAAGATGTACATTCTTTTTACATACTTTTTTCTCCTCTTCTCTCAATTAACTGTCATTGGGATTGGGGAAACGTGTGGAAATCGTTTTTCGCAAGGACACATTAAGAGGATTTTCCAGGATCTAACTGGTTCATTTGTATTTTGTTATATTTACCAGTGTCTTTGCTTCCGGCAACAAAGAATGACGTAACGGACCACACCAACAAAGAAGGTAGTGGAGGGGGTCTGACAAAACAGTAACATACAGTTCTGTTTAAAATACAACCTTCCTCCTCCACTTTTATTTGACAGTTAAGATATCACCATGTACACTCCTCCTCCGATCGTTCTTTTTTGATTTGTCTTGTTTTTTATGGCAATATATTGTTTGACATGTAAATGATCGGATGGAATATACCATGATGACATTTGGGATGCGGATTTCTATCTACCCGTCCCCTGTTAAGGAGGAAAATGATGAAGAAATGTATTTATTTTCAATGAGAACTGAGGATGCCAACACAAAGAGGACATTTCGTTAGATCTGAGATGTACATTTCTCTGACGTTTGTTTCTCTCTGGGCTACAACAAATTGGGTAGATGAATTGCCAGGGTCAGAAGACCCTGGTTTGGGTGGGATGTTATATTGTTTTCTTTTTGTGTTTTGCGTTTGTGTTACATTAGTTTTAATGTTAAATAATAAAAGCAGTGACAATCCCTTTTGTGTATGGGGCCAAAATATACAATTTACATATAATCCCACAGATATGCAGCAGTCACCATGCAAAACACGAACATCTATTCTTGGAATATTAAAGGCTTGGGAAACCCCATAAAAAGGAATAAAGTATTATCTCTTCTTAAAAAAGACAAAGCTGATGTGGTCTTCTTACAAGAAACCTTTCTCTCAGATACTGAACATCTTAAATTGAAAAGAGATTGGATAGGTCAGGTGTATTTCTCATCATATAAAACCCATAGTAGATGGACAGCTATTGTGATAAACAAAACTTGCCCATTCGAATTAGAAAAATGAGTTACGGACCCAAATGGTCGGTTTGTTTTGGTTGTTGGTACTATTTTTGGAATCCCAATCACCTTTTTAAATATCTATGCTCCCAATATAGATGAACCAATGTTCATGTCAGACATGGTGCTGCTCTTCAATGAAAATTATAAAGGATTAGGACTGATGGGCGGCGATTTCAACTGCACTCTTAACCCTACATTAGATCAATCTAACCAGTCCAAGAGCCACAATCTTAAATCCTCAAAGGTCCTTCAGGGGCTTTGTGCAGAATGCGGCCTTATTGACGTATGGCGTCAACTAAATCAGGATGTCAAAGATTACACTTTCTTTTCAAATGTCCACAACTCTTATTCTAGAATAGATTATTTTTTTATTCCCTCAAAATACATGCATAGGGTAAAAGAATGTAAAATTGATTCCATTAATATTTCAGATCATGCAAGAGTTTATTTAACTATTCACTTGGAGAGTGGATAATTGGTATCCAGGCGCTGGAAATGTGATAACTCCTTACTTAGAGACGAAAAATTCAAATTAAAAATGCGAATGTGGATAATTTACTATATAAAAGAAAACAATGACCCCTCTATAGATCCGAATATTATTTGGGAAGCTGCAAAAGCTACTTTAAGAGGACTTATTATCTCATACACATCTTTGAAAAAACGTGAAAAAATGAAGCTCAGACAAGAACTTGAAAGAGAAGTAAACAGATGTGAAGTACTTCATAAATCCGCATCAACAGATGAAAACTGGAAACAATTCAACACAGCCAGAGCTAAATTAAATATTGACTTAACAAATGAAATCATAACACAAATGAATCTTATCAGACAAAAGAATTATGAATTTGGCAATAAACCAAGTAAACTACTTGCCTATCAATTAAAGAAGCAGCAAGCAGAAAGGGCTATAAAGGCAATTCGTCTGAAAGACAACACGATAACCTACAGTACCACCCAAAACAGATTAACCAGACTTTTTATGAATTCTATAACAAATTATACAAATCTGTGATCTGTGATTACTCACAAGATGAACTGGACAATTATCTCCATAACATTAATTTACCTACATTGTCTGATTTAGATCAAGAGTATCTAAACTCATCAATTACAGAAGTAGAAGTTTTGGCTGCAATTAAATCTATGCCTATAAATAAAAGCCTTCACGGCAGAATATTATAAAGAGTTTTGGACAGAACTTCAACCTATATTTATGTCAATGGTTAACAACTTCTCTCACAACAGAACACTTCCTCAATCAATGAATCTTGCATATATTACTGTACTACATAAAGATGGGAAAGACCCCTTGAATTGTTCTTCATTTAGGCCTATAAGCCTCTTGGATCATGATTATAAGATTATCACCAAATTATTAGCAAAACGACTGGAAATGATTTTACCTAAACTAATTAGTCCTGATCAAACAGGTTTTGTCAAGGGCAGATACTCTTCTGATAATATAAGGAGACTTTTGAATATTATAAACCATTTGGACACCGGTCAGAAGCCATCTCTGCTTCTTTCTTTAGATGCAGAGAAGGCTTTTGACAGGGTTGAGTGGAATTTTCTTTTTGCTATCTTGAACAGGTTAAATATGGGCTCTCGGTTCATAGAGTGGGTCAAATCAATTTATAAAAATCCTAAAGCAGCGGTTATCACTAACTGCAGTTCCTCAGATTTGTTTCCACTAACAAGGGGGACAAGACAGGGATGTCCTCTGTCACCTTGGCTTTTTGCCATTGTAATTGAACCACTGGCGTCATGTGTGCGAGACAACATAAGTATTAAAGGAGTGAAGATTAACGATGAACACAACATTTCTCTGTATGCTGACGATATCATTCTTTACTTAACAGACCCAGAAAATTCAGTACCACACTTGCACGACACGATAGAGCAATTTGGAAGATACTCAGGATATAAAATTAACTTTAAGAAATCGAATGCTTGTTTCTTACATATGACGCCAACAGCAAATTTGGAAAAGTCTTGTTCTTTTAATTTGTCACCAGGTGGCTTTAAATACTTAGGAATAAATATAACACCACACCTGGATAATCTGTTTAAAGAGAATTACAATCCGCTCATTGACAAAATCAAACAGGATTTATCTAAATGGTCCACATTACCAATATCACTGCTAGGAAGAATCATTGTCATAAAAATGAATATTCTACCGAGATGTATTTTTCTTTTTCAAATGTTACCATGCTATTTATCCGCTGACTATTTTAAATCTCTCAATAGACACATCTCAAAATGTATCTGGTGTAATAAAAAACCAAGAATCAAGTTACTTACTCTTATGAAACCAGAAACTATGGGGGGTCTTGGTCTTCCCAACTTTCAACACTACTTCTGGTCGGCTCAATTAAGAAATGTACTATCTTGGTCTCTGGGAAGAAAGGATTCACTATGGGTTCAGATAGAAGCCAATACCTTTGACCCGTTGCCAGTGGAAACTCTTATATTTGTTAAAGACTTCAATAAGGTGAAAAATATGGCCAAATGTTTTACAGTGGTCAATACACTTTTAGCCTGGAGGGACTGTACAAAAAAAGTTCATGTTAACTCAGGTATTTCAATCTTTTCTCCTATTTTGAACAATCCTGATCTTAGCAAATATTTGTTGTCAATTAATATAAACAAATGGACGAAATCAGGTATAAAGCAATTGAAACATTTGTTCCACAAAGATATAACATTAAAATCATTTAATGATTTAAGAGCAGAATATGACATTTCAAATAAGGATTTTTTTTCAGATACCTGCAAATTAGGAACGTGATCCAATCAATTATTAAAAGCAATAAATTGAGATCGGGATTGTTGGAAGAGGAGGAGATATTGATGTCATCGAGCACGATCAAAGGTCAAATTAGAGAATGTAATGCAGTTTTTTCTAAAAGAGCTCAGTCATCCTTTCCAACTTTAAAAAAGATCTGGGAAAAGGACTTAGGGATACAGATAGATGAAACTACTTGGCTGAATATCTGTGAAAGAACACATTTTCCATTCACAAGCAATAAAATCAAAGAAGCAAACTTTGCATTTCTCAACAAATGTTACCTCACACCCATAAATATGCATAACAGTACCAAAGAAAACTCTTCAAAATGTCCGAGATGTAAAGTAAAAGGAGGAACATTTATGCATCTGTTTTGGGACTGTGATCTCTTGAAACATTTCTGGGATTCGATTCATGCGTTCACAAAAGCCGTTTTAGGCATCGAAATGAGCCAAAATCCATGTTTTTTCCTGTTAAATGACATACCAAACTTTAAACTGAATCCCAAACATTACAGAATACTAATCACAATAACATATTTTGCCAAGAAATGTATACTTTTACTCTGGAAGAATGAACGTCCTCCAACATTTAAACTTTTCATTGATCAGATAACACATTTTTTACCTCTGGAGAAAATGACATTGGAAAAAATATAATCGTGGACATATCTTTCAAGCTCTGTGGTTGCCATTGTTTTCTTATTTGGAAAATATATCTGAGATATGACCAGTGATGGAATGGTGCACTCTGTGGCTATTTTTCCTGAGGGCCGGAAATACTAGTTGTGTTGTCATTGCTGTATTGTATAATTAATTGTATAATTATGTGTTTGTTTTACTTTGATGTGGGTTTATTATTATTATTATTATTATTTTTTTTTTTTCCGTTTTATGTTTATTTTCATGGCTCTGTTGTTTAAGTTATATTGATAAGCATTTTTTTGCGGGTGGAGGGAGGGAGGGGGGAGTGTACTGTGGTACTGTGATATTACAATATAAATGAAATGGCATCGATTACTGTACACTATAATGAAATAAAAAGACTTGAAAAAAAGAGAGAAAAAAAGAAAATGGAGACTGACTCTCAGGGCTACGTGAAAAAACTCTGAGCCATTCAGGCAACGAGCTCCTCAACCAAGGCATGTCGGCCACCTCCATTTGTGCCTTTTTGCCGATAGCCTCTTTGTCCCTTCTTGACAAGGTTCCACTCCACTCGGCATAATGACATTGAAGGGAAAAATCTAGATCTAACAGATCTAACTCAAAATCTTCAATATCCGCTGGGTCCATAATTGGTCGGTTCATTCTGTTAAGATCACTGTTTAGATTGCGGGAAAAGATAGGACCCAAAATGCAGACTACAAAAAGGTAAAGATCTATAAACAAAAGCGAGCTTTATTTAAAAAGACGATCAACAAAAACATGGCAAGGATATAACGTACCATGAAGGGAGACAGGAAAAACAAACAATGAACCAACAGGGGAACACAGGAAGAGACCAGACTAAATACAAGGAACAAGAAACAGCTGGGTAAAGGAGGGAGAAACACAAGGACAACAGGTGAACACAATCAGAAAATCAGACACACCAGGGAAACTAACGACAGGGAGGAAAATACAGGGAGGAGGACCAGACAAGAAACGAGGAGGAAAACACAGGGAGGAGGACCAGACAAGACACAATGAGGAAAACACAGAGAGGAGGACCAGACAAGACACAAGGAGGAAAACACAGGGAGGAGGACCAGACAAGACACAATGAGGAAAACACAGGGAGGAGGACCAGACAAGACACAAGGAGGAAAACACAGGGAGGAGGACCAGACAAGACACAAGGAGGAAAACACAGGGAGGAGGACCAGACAAGAAACAGGGAGGAAAACATGAAACAGGGAGGAGGACCAGACAAGAAACAAGAAGGAAAACACAGGGAGGAGGACCAGACAAGAAACAAGGAGGAAAACACAGGGAGGAGGACCAGACAAGAAACAAGGAGGAAAACACAGGGAGAAGGACCAGACAAGAAACAAGGAGGAAAACACAGGGAGGAGGACCAGACAAGACACAAGGAGGAAAACACAGGGAGGAGGACCAGACAAGACACAAGGAGGAAAACACAGGGAGGAGGACCAGACAAGAAACAGGGAGGAAAACACAGGGAGGAGGACCAGACAAGACACAAGGAGGAAAACACAGGGAGGAGGACCAGACAAGAAACAAGGAGGAAAACACAGGGAGGAGGACCAGACAAGAAACAAGGAGGAAAACACAGGGAGGAGGACCAGACAAGAAACAAGGAGGAAAACACAGGGAGGAGGACCAGACAAGAAACAGGGAGGAAAACACAGGGAGGAGGACCAGACAAGAAACAAGAAGGAAAACACAGGGAGGAGGACCAGACAAGAAACAAAGAGGAAAACACAGGGAGGAGGACCAGACAAGAAACAAGGAGGAAAACACAGGGAGGAGGACCAGACAAGAAACAAGGAGGAAAACACAGGGAGGAGGACCAGACAAGAAACAAGGAGGAAAACACAGGGAGGAGGACCAGACAAGAAACAGGGAGGAAAACATGAAACAGGGAGAATAGAACAGCAAAACAAACCCAAACCTAGACATACAAAACTAAAAACGTGACATAACATAATAATCGTGACACCTACATGATTCTTGTTACTCTGTACCCTCCTGGTTGAATGCACTTATTGTAAATCGCTTTGGATAAAAGCATCTGCCAAATGAAGTGTAATGTAATGTACTATATTTATACCATTCTGTAGCATTCAAACAAAATGATACATTTCCTTGATGAACACTCCATCTTGAGTAAAAATCTAATTGATTAAAAACCGCAACCGTATACCATTCACACTTTTAATAAAACACTTGAACACCAAACACAAAAGGTTATATCTTAATTTCTGACTGTGACGGCCTGTATTACAGGCTTCTATGTGTGGTCAAGGAGGTGGAAATAAATGATCTGGTTAAAGTTTATTTCAATGTGTAAATAGAGAAGAGAACAGGATCCAGCGCTGGAGGCGAGCCTTTGTTAATTACTATGAAAGTTGCTCAGTGGAGCGTGAATCCAAAAGGGCCTGACTGAACCGAAGTACTTGGGGGTCTGGCCTGTAGAGATACACACTTGTGTTCTACTAAATATTGGTTGTTGTGTTCACATTTGTATTGTATGAGATACAGCATGTGTAATGACTATAGATTCATACAAACAAACATGACCAAATTGCTTTAATTTTCGATGAAAAAACAAGCTGTGGATATTCTATTTTATTTCTCATTTGTGATAAGACTTCATGAAACTAAACTGGTGCTTCCTTTCTGTAACCTCCATGCCTGTCTTCTTTTGGGAAACCTACCCCCATTTAACAAAGTGTTTAATGTTTCCCTTTCTATTATAGGTGACTAAAGCACTGTCAGGTATTCATTTGCCAGGTGGAAATAAACAATGGAATGGAGAGATGTCGCAGGTGGCCAATCAGAAGCCTTCAATGATGGCAGCATATGATTACCAGTCAGCTCCTCAGGTGGGAATTTCAGGACAAATTGAAGTTAGTAAAGAACATGTACATTCTCAGAAGAAAAAAGGACTGGAGGAGAGTCTGGTTAAACAAGGGCATTCCCTAAACTGTGCAGCAGTAGAGAAGATGTTACAAAATGCTCAGACTGCCCAGAGGAAGGAGGTACCAACACCAACCCATAAGAAAGCAGGCAAGGTGGAGGTTCTTACAGCTATAACTTCACATAAAGAAAATGATCTCACTTTGAAAAGTCCTGATCAGATTAATAAGGAGTGTGTTGGTCAAATGAGCTCACCTACCACAGCAGAAAAAAAGAAGGTCACCACCATTGTTACTCTACATAAAGAAACCATTCAAGCCACTGACATCACAGGTCCTGACGCCACAAAAGAAAAAGCTGTCAAAGAGAAACCAGCTGAGGAGAAGTCAAATATGACAGTAGCAGAAACATATGAGAAAGAAGACTCCCCCAAGGATCGCTTGATACAGTCCCAGGAGAATAAACTCCTTAGCTTAGATCAGTGTGTAACTTCTCCACATGTCCCAAAAATGTCCCCCTGCAGGACGGTCAGCCACAGCAGCAGGCAGCAGAACCTGCAGCCTTCCCAGGACACGACCCAGGACACATCCCAGGACACAGAGGAAGGAGGGAATCTGAGCCCTGATAGTTTGGACAATGAGGGTCGTCCTCCTCCTCCTCCTCCTCCTCCTCCTACTCCTCCTCCTACTCCTCCTCCTCCCACAGGTCAAATCCACCTGAGAATCACCAAGAACCACAGAGTGTTGGATGGCCCTGACACACAGCCTGGGTCTGGGGACAGCAATGGTGAACCCACTTATGTCGCGTATGAAAACCAAGGTTTTGAGGACAGTGATGACTCTGATAAGAAACCTATAATTGTTATCATGAATGAGCCTATGGACATTCAGTCAGCCTACAAGCGTCTGTCTACCATCTTTGAAAGTGAGGAACATCTTGATAAGATTCTTTCTACAGAAAGTGTTGTGGATGAAGATGAGTTTCATTATGAAGAAGGCAAACAGGAAATGAGAACAATTGGCAACAGTGACATCAACACAGGTTTAGAGATCACAGGAAATGGTCAGATATCTCTACACCTGCAACAAGAAAGACCTTCAGCAGGTAATGGCACAATACCTGAAAACCAGGACCAGGGTGAACCAGATTTCCTTAAAAAGCCAGAGACCAAACGAAAGTTCAAATTTAAGTTCCCCAAAAACAAACTGAGTGCAATTAGCAAGGCCATACGAACAGGGACGACCAAAACAGGAAAGAAGACTCTGGAGGTTGTTGTCTATGAGGAAGAGGAAGAGATAGTATTGGCCAGCAAATCAGCGAAGGAGACCAAGAAGCAGACAAAAGAATCCAAGAGGTCTGAGACCAGCAGTCCCAGACAGGTCAACTCTGGTGAGAGAGACATCCAGGTGTCCCTTATCACTGTCAGCAGACACTCAAAGTCACATGGCCGGGCAGAGAGGCCCTGCAACAGTACGCTCGACTCTATTGACAGTCTAGAAGAGTCCATTAAACAGCTGGAGATCAGTGCAGACAGCATGGCGGGCCCCCCCTCCCCCTGCAGCATCGGGTCTTTACCGCCTCAGTCCCCTGATTCTTCCTCGGACTCCACTGACAGAGCTCAGTCTAAAGTCAAACGGGAAAGGGAGAGAAGCCTTTCCAAGAGGCCAGCCTCTCAGGTCCTCAAGGTCCCCAATCCACCTCAGAGTAAGAGGTCCAAACAACAGCCTCCACCTGACACAGGGAAAAGCTCCACCATGAAACAGGTCTGATGCTGCTCTGCCTGCTGCTGCTGGTGGGCTGGTGCTGGGCTGGTGCTGGGCTCTCTCCTCCCTCTGCCCTCCTCTTTTCTCTTATTCTTCTCTTTCCTGTTATTACACCTGCACTGTTATTAGAGTAGTATAACCCAGGTAACACCAATATATCACCCATATTACAGTGTTATTACAGAGTTATTACACCAATTTTCCACATGAACACAGCATGTCAAATGACTGTATCCCCCCAGGATGCAGAAACCATTGAAGGTTTAAGGGACGTATGCCCGGCTGTTTAAAATGAACAATAAATACTTTTTGTGTTATCTTCAAGAAATGATCCTTGGAGTGGACCAACTGTTCAAACGTTGCACCCTCCATCTGTGTTTGGGGTCTCTGTGCTGAGTGTTCCTAGAACTCACAGGAACACTATTTCTCTGTGACTTTCTGCCACTCCCTTCCATGAATCGTGCCTCAGGGATTCACTAGAGTAAAATATCAGATCACATTGACGGCACAGTCCTCTCATACAATCCTGTCTTTGATCATATTCTTTAATATCATCTAAAGAGTTTACTTAGACTACTCAATTGTACATTTTCCCTCCATGTGCTGCTTTGGTGAAATGATGTTTCTGAATGTTTCTAACGCCTCCTCCTCATCAGTCCTAGTCCCGCCAGTCTGTCCTAACTTCCTGTCTGTGTGTTGCTCTCCTCTGCAGACCTACAGCTCCAGACCCCTCACCAGGTCCTGCCACACGACCTCCTCTAGCCCCCCAGAGAAGGCCCATAAGGGCCCGAAGCAGCCCGGCCAGGTAATGAAAGCCTGAACAGAGGGGGGGGGGGGAGCTTCTCGGGTCTCTGGGTGTTCTTGAAGAGAAGAACCTGGTGGTGGTAACTGACAGAGGATGAACCGATCCCTCCATTAGTGACATCAGTCGAACTTAGCAAATATGGCAACTTTAATATAAGAGCACATGTACTGAACAAGGCAATTGAAAGCCTTCCAGTGTGTTTAAAAAAACATTAAAAGCATTAAAAAGCCAAGGGAATACAAAATAAAACAAGCCGGGTATAAAATACTAGAATCAAAGGTCGAGTTCAGTGTGAGATATGAGAGTTCTTTGTTTTAATGAAAGGCAGCAGAAAAATGTAAGTGTTCAGCTTTTATTTGAAAGCGGTAAGAGAGACAGCAGACCTGCAGGATTCTGGGAGTTTGTTCCAGATATACGGAGCATAATAACTGAACGCTGCCTCTCTGTGTTTAGTTTGACTCTGGGCACAGAAATCAGACATGGTTTATAAGTTAGCAGAAGATCCGAAATATATTTTAGCAATCAGTGCTCTGTAAACCAGCAGCAGTATTTGGAACTTATTTGTAAGTTATAGTTCAACATAAAGTGCTTGGATGCGGGGTGAACTGGATGTTTTAGATAACATCTGAGTGATTTCACTATGCAGTGGGGTGTGAGCTCATCTCTGTGGTGGTGCTGTCTGGATCTGAGGGTCTTCTACCTGTCTGTTTCTGGCTGTTCATGCTCCTCCACCCTGCCACGCTCTGCAGGTTCACTCTCTGATGCTGTTGTAGTCCTCATATCCAGCATGAGCTGCTCAACCCTGCTGATTGAGTTTCCAGATGAGTGTGATGCTGTCCTGCATGTTCACTGGGAACTGATGTTCCTCTGGCAGTGAGTTGTGGACAAAAACTCTTGAAACCTAACCCATAGAAGCCCCCCTCTAAACATACTGTTAAACACCCGTCAGTGAGAACCCCAGATTTATGTTGTGAAAGAGTCTTCATGTGATTACTGCATGTCTGGAAAATCCCTTTAAATCAATGTCAAACATTTACATGTTGAGGTGCAACAAAACATAAACAAGATTTTTCTGAAAGAGTACAGTATTTCATGTCTCTTCACTTTCTATCTTTTCCCAGACTGGTTCATTTCAGAGAAAAAGCAGTGCATTCTAAAAATGAGCATTTATTCAGAAGTCCAGAGAATCCTAGCTGTACGTCCACACAGCAGCTTTACGGCCCGTCCACACAGCGGCGTGCGTTGACGCTTGCCGGCGGGCGTGTCTGACACTCGACCAATAACCAATCACATGAATCTCCCGCCCCTGACACACAAGCAGCGGTTTGATTGGCTAGAGCTTGTACTGGCATATGATTCGATTGGCTGACGCTTCTGTCGAGGCGTCAAAAGTTGAACATTGCTCAACTTTTGCAGCGAGCCACGCCAGCAACGCTCCGCGATGCAGTTCGGCTAAAAGTGACGTCACCCCATTCAAAGTGAATGGGCAGAAGCGTTGGAAGCTTCGACGCACGCCGCTGTGTGGACGGGCCGTCAGACGAATCTTCCACCGCTTCCAACGCTTCTCTGCCCATTGACTTTGAATGGGGATGACGTCACTTTGCCTCGCTTTTCGCCGAACTGCATTGTGGGGGAGCGAAGCGAAGATTTCCAGGATTTCCAGAATTTTCAGGATTCAAAAGTTGAGCAATGTTCAACTTTTGAAGCTGAGCTGGAAGCGTCAGCCAATCAAATCCCGTTTATGCAAATCTGACAGCAGAAGCGCTAGCCAATCAAACCGCGTGTAAGCAGGGAGAACCAGACCGCAGTTCATTTCCTCATATTCCAAACGAGAAATGACGGTAGCAAATCACCCGGTTCTTTACGACCAGAACTATTAACGGGATACAAACCGGAGGAACCAGGCATGGAGGGAGGTGGCAGAGACAGTGGGTGAAACTGGTAGGTTTTCGCCTGTTTGGGGAGTTTATATATATATATATTGCTCGCATAAAATCCCTAGGGTTTTTTGCTTTGTATGTCGGGGGCGGGAGATTCATGTGATTGGTTGTTGGTTGCGTTGCTCGCAAAAAATCCCCAAGCTTTCAGACACGCCCAGCTCCAAGATTTTCAAGATTTTTGAAAAGCTGCTGTGTGGACGTACCGTAGGAGTTCCTGTGTGATATGTGATGCAGATGTATTACCTTGGAGCTGGTTCACCTGATCAACAGCAGTTCATGTAATAGTTTCATAGGCTTCAGTGACATCATACGAGAGGAACTTCACATTACACAGACCTTAATTCACAGCACTGTGTTGCCAAATGTTGTCCATTCAAACTGAAACAAAAACACTTTCATGGGGACATATGCACAAGTGAAGCACCAGCAGCGAACCACTCCAGCAGGGGGCTAATGCCGCTGAACTACATACTGTAGCAGCGACATGAACTGTGACATCACGACGAGGCTCCTGGAGGGCTCTGCTTGGTGAAAAGAAAACTGTTTTTTTTATTGGTAAGCAAGCTGAGCCAACTTAGATCCTAACTAGCACCAGCACAGAACCAGAACATCTGACCAATTCCCAATGCCCAATTCCACCATTTCATGTTTTGTAGGGGTTAGGCGGAAACCAAGCAGCTCCTAACAAAAGAGCTTTACAAAAAAATAAATGCCATTACAGATTTTTGGAGTTTTATTTTAGTTTTTATATATTGTCTTTTGTCCAAGAGATGCTGATTTCAAACCGTTGTTATGAAAAGTTACAGCATTTCCTGTTTCAGCTGGAGAGAGGGCAGCGTGCTGCTGTTTTCACTCCCTCCACCTTCAGGAAGGGGGCCGCGTTTAGCTGTGAAAGAGACTCCAGGCAGTCATTCCTTCACGGAGTGGGAGTGGGTAGGGGGCGGCTTCGAATTGGGCCAAAAATAAAAATGTATGTATTTAAATCAAGCTGGCCAAACCCAGACAAATAAGCTGTAGGAGTATGGAGTGTGTTCTCTACTGCTGTGTGTGTTTCTGCTGACTCGCTGTGTGTGTGTGTGTGTGTGTGTGTGTGTGTGTGTGTGTGTGTGTGTGTGTGTGTGTGTGTGTGTGTGTGTGTGTGTGTGTGTGTGTGTGTGTGTGTGTGTGTGTGTGTGTGTGTGTGTGTGTGTGTGTGTGTGTGTGTGTGTGTGTGTGTGTGTGTGTGTGGTGTGTGTGTGTGTGTGTGTGTGTGTGTGTGTGTGTGTGTGTGTGTGTGTGTGTGTGTGTGTGTGTGTGTGTGTGTGTGTGTGTCCCCAGGCTGTCAGGGAAAGAGCCTCTCAGATCCCCGCCCTGTCCCACAGCTCTGGGAAACATCCCCCTCCTCCTCCCTGCTCAGACACCCCCCTGAGCTCCTCTGGGAAACCCTCTCTTCTTCAAAGTGTCCGTGGTCTCCTTCCTCGGCCCAGCCCTCCTCTTCCTCTCCATCAGGCTCTCCCCCTGGCTCCCCCTCTCCCTCCTCCTCACGAGTCTTTAATCCTGTCTCTGAATCTGAGTCGTCTCCTCCCCTCGTCTAGCCACTTCTTCTTGCCATCCCACCCTGACATCCCCCCTGCCCAGGGGCCCCCCCTTGCCTTCACCTCCACCTCCCCACACAGCTACTACTTTTCTTCATCCTACTCTTCATCCTCGCCCTCCTCCTCCACCTCCTCCTCTCTGTCCCCCACCTCCTCCTCTCTGTCCCCCACCTCCTCCCTCCTCCCTCCTCCTGGGCCAAGGAGCATCCAGATGTCAGCGTCCAGCCTGCACTCTCCAGGCGGGAGGGGCAGGAAGCGCAGCGGAGGTCAGCAGGTCCTGCGACCGGGGGAGGGCTCCAAGGACGCAGCGTGATGCTCCATCAGGGGGAGGGGGGGGGGGTTAGCTTGTAGAACAAATTTAAAATATCTGGCCAGAGTCCGTTTTAGTTCCAAAACACACTCGAGCCCGACCGTCACACAGGCATGTTGCATTATGGGATGTTTCAGCGTTGCCCAGGTGTGTCTTTATTACTGTTTAAGTCAGCACAGAAAAGTGGAGCATCACAGGGTGAGTCCACTAAAGAACACACTCAGCGTGACAGACACATGAAGAGCAGCTTTGGATTGGATACCATAGATATACAGTTTTGCGGGGGGGTCCATTATAGTGCTGAATGATTTGGGGAGAAATAATTAATGCATGTGATATGATTCTATATATAAAAAGGAATGATCATTTTTGTGGCTAATCAAAGAAATAGAACCTAAAACGGTTTAAAATGTTGGGAACCAGTAAGCCAATCTTAAGGCAGGAACAATGTCACTGAACGTCTGTGTTCATTTGTTTTCTATTTTCTTGTACTCCAATAATACAATTCATCGAGAACAATGGTTTCACCTTTTTCCTTTCCCGTGTTTCTCCTGGTTCAAAAAACATATTCTCAACCAACCCCTGTGTCCAAGATAAACATAATCACCAGGTGCCCGAAACCTTAAAGAATGACTTCAACTATATTAATTACGATAAATGTAATACAACCAAAAAACAGCTAGAAAATAAATGTTTAATTACTAAATAACATAAATCGTTGTATAGCTCCAACAATTATTTTTTAAAGATGATGCACATCAGTAATAAACGTATATTTAAATGATCATAGTGTGATTGACACGATCTGAACCAAACAAGGAACTTTGATGAAGTCTATATGTTCTGTTCTCTGCCGCTCCACAAAACGCTGTGATCTTTGATATTGCACCAGTCCATGTCGCAATGTGGATACAAGGTTGTTTAATTGAGCATCCCAAGGCCATAGTACAGTTTGGGTTAGGCTACAAAGGTTACATTGAAGCCCGGGTGGAGACATGCAGTCAGAAGGAGCAGCGCGCACGCGCACGCACGCGCACACACACACGCGCACACACACACACACACACACACGAGGTCTGTCTGCAGCTGTTTTGTGTCCTTTTTAAAAAGTGTGTATGTTACATGTATGAATATCAGCTGATTATGTCATAAAAGGGTTTTATCCCTTATATTGTTCAATACCCAGTGCTTGGCCTCTAGTGACCTCTGGTATTAGTTTTGTAAAGCCACAAATCAATTTACACATTATATAAGTATGGGCCTTCCTAAAGAAAACATGTATTATAACATGCAGCTGAGAAGATGTTGTACAGAAGAATACGCAGTATTCCCCCCCCCCCCCCTTTTGTTTGCCGACAATCAGTGTGGAATGGAACTACCTAAATGTTTCCTCACTCTAATGATGCTGTATGATGTCCTATTTGTTGTTCTGTTTCTGTTTCATGTGGAACCTACTTGAGCAGGTCTCCCTTGAAAAAGAGATCAATGATCTCAATGGGATACACCTGGATAAATAAAGGTTTGAAATTAAATGAAAAATGTCCCAGGTATTATTAACAATATTATGTATATAGTCTCACAGAGCGGATTGTCTCCCAGAATTCCACTGTGACCGCCATTTGGCCTTTGGTGTCACACATTTTTTTAGGGCACAAAGGCCACATGCCAGGGCACAAAGGCCACATGCCAGGGCACAAAGGCCACATGCCAGGGCACAAAGGCCACATGCGGATTTGGAACTTACAAATAAACAACTTCACTCTTCTGAAAAACACACAAATGACATGGAAAACAAATCACTTTTTTTATATCAATAATGTCAAACATTATAATCATATATAGTATTACCGTATATAAAATGAAATACTCTACTTTGAATAATTAGTGTTTGGTATGTTTTCTATCTACTACTTCTCCCATTCACAAATCCGAAATCAAATCAAAAAATATAAAATTCTATTAACAAATATGTTCCATTTCAGAGCAGAACAAACAGCCTTCAAGGGTCAAACTCTGCACATACATCATTCAGCAGTGTACTTTGAAATGCAAACGTGTGTGTGTGTCTGTGTGCGAGAGTCTCTTTAATCCATTCAACTAGTAGTAGTAGTAGCAGTGGCGGCCGGCCCATAGGGGGTTAGGGGTGCCGCCCCACCTCTTCCCACATTCTAGATTGTCATTAAAACAATTTTTAAATAAATATTTTTAAAAAGTTAACTTTTTTTTTTTAATGAACAAGGTACATATTATATGGTGTCAGTTAAATGTATATTTAATTAATCTACCATAAAATATCCATAAAAATTGTTTTACGATGTCTAAAGTTACTGATAAGTCACGTGTTTCCTGCTTGGGGCGCAGAAATCTTTGCCCATTGACTCTCGTTATAAGTGGTGCATGCGCAGTCCGCACCTCTTCAATGCAACAGATAGGAGCAGCTCGGGGCGCACCAAACTGCGCCCCGAGCAGCTCTTGACACCGCCAACAACTAGGAGGCAGCAGGAGCTCCAGAGTGAGTGATTGACGTTTGAATGAGAGAGAGTTAGATGGAGACAGAGTGTAAACAAAACTAGATAGCGAATATGGAGAAGGAACATGATGTTTAATCACTTTAAGAAACACCCTTTGAGAGGAGGACACTGGAGGGAAAGAGCTCGGACCTGATCAGCCGGACACAGGCAGGAGTTAAGGACAGAGGAAGGCAGTATACCTGCTCTTTTTCAAGGAGCTGGTTTAGCTAGAAGGCTGGGCTAACTACCTGTAGCAACACCAGTGCTGTACGTTGCTTCCCCTGCCTCCCTTTTCAAACGTCAGGATCCGACCAGTCTATGGACCAGACCCAGCATGGATCCAGACAGATGTGAGTGTGTCACGCTCGCAGGTACAGATCAGAACCCAAGAGCACGACACAGATACAACCAGTTTTCAGAATGTTCAGTTTAATCGGGTCAGGGACAGGCAGGGTCAAAACCAGGAAATCCAGCAGTCGGCAAACAAATCCGAGAAGGGGCAGGCAGAACAGGGCTCAGAACCAGGCGATCCGACAGACAGGCAAACAAATCCAATCAGGGGGCAGGCAGGAAACTCGAGGTCCGATAACAGGCAGGGGTCAAAACCGGGCAGGACAGGTAACTAGGCAAGAGATAATCAAACACTGGAGAGCTTGGCAGAATACACAAGACAATCTGGCAGAGGACAAGTGAGCGTAAGGTGGTATATATACTGTGGAGTTAATGAGGGAATGAGTAGCAGGTGAGGAGAAGGGCTGGGGAGACCAGGTGAGGGGAGTGAGCTGATTGGAAGAGCGTGGAGGAAGGCGGGATCTGAAATGACAGGGGAGTTCAGGGGCCTATACTACGAAGCTGGTTCAACCTAACCTGGATATGTTTGAGTTAGCCGGTTGGCCTAATCCAGAACATACGCGCTCTCGCTAAACTGTACTACGACGCGGGTTATCAAGTGGATAGCTCAAGCCAGCCGTTTCCTATCTAGTTAGGTGCGCGTTCACATGAAAGCGGTGGTATTTGGAGCATTCGACCAATCAGAAACATGGAGAAGCGTACTGACAGCGCAGCGTCATACTTCCTGAATGAAAAGTGAACTTTAATACTAGTCAAAAATGAAGAAGTTAAACTTTAAACATCCATGACTTAAACACTTTATCCAGGATCAAAGCCACAGAGCTGCACCAGCAAGGTGAATACAGCTGGCAAAAGAACAAGTGTTTGAATGCGTACATTAACAGGTTCATGATATCACTGCCCCGTCTAAAACACGATCTGACTTTCATTACATTTGACTCGAGTGTTTCCTCAACTTAATGTGTTGCTTAAAATAATACTTCTGCATACAGTATGTGACACTGTGAGTGTTGCACGGCCAGATACGGCTCAGCTGACTCAGATCAGAAAATATGATACATTATGAAGTGATATGCCGCGGACTGTAGGCTACTTAATGTTACTATGATCCGGTTACTTATGTTGTGGCAGATATTTAAGTAAGCTTTCTTAACGCTAATGTTATAATAGTCAGATTGCTCTGAAGATGGAGGTGATATTCTATTCATGTTCACGTTCACACAGTCGGTGATTTTTGCCGGCCGTCTTTCCTGCAACGGCAGTTTTTCTGTATTTCCTTTCTCCTGTAATATGACTTGATCGCTTTAAACTCCGCACACTGAGCTCTGATTGGTCAGCAGGCGGTGCTTTCACTGAGTTGTGCTCTTAGCCTGCAACCTAACCTGGTCCCGACCAGGTTAGCCGCTAAGCATAAGTTACCATGGAGATCTAACCTGCTAAAAAGAGAACCAGCTTCGTAGGACCGGAAAGCCGGAGTTTTCCCTGAATTTAGCCGGCTAAGCAAAAATCCAGCTTCGTAGTATACCCCCCAGATGTGCCAAACCAAAAACAACAATAAATGTGTCGAACTTGTGACAGAGTGACTTAAAGCACATATCAGAAAAAACTAAAAAGCATGATCAAACTAGAGTCCACATGGATGATGCTATGCGACTAGAAAGTAAACACAGCTGTCCAATGAGGGTACAGGATAGGGATCAGTAAGCATAATAAGGAGGCTGACAAAAACAGGCACTAAAATAATAGACTGTATCAAGTGCTGTGTGCCTTTGAGCTAGCCCTGCGTTATAATATGACATGTTTTGAGTTTGTGTATAAGTTTGCCTTCATTTTGGTAGAGCCCTTCCTGAAGTAGTAGTAGTATTATTATTATATAATTATAATTAAATGTGCTTGTCAGAGTCGGATGACAAGATAATCCTGCAATTATCACCAAGTAATGATTGTAATTGTTTTTTTGTTTTTTTTCTCGTGGAATAACTCAATAAAAGCATACCAAAAACATTGTAAATGAAACCAAAATGTGTCCAATTGCTAAGAGAAGAAGCCACTGAGAGTGTTGTTGTGATGAATCACTTCCTGGATCTACAGTTGAGATTAATTCATTGGTTCCTCTTCTTATCTGACTCTATGTGTCTTTCTGTCAGGCTTAAAGTGTTTGGGATGATCTAAGAGAGAGTGCATGGACCTTTTACTGTACTCTGTTTATAAATACCAAAAGTAGATTTGGAAATAAGCTTACATTATTATGTATGCACATTTATGTTGTTGTTGTTGTTGTTGTCTTGTTGTCTTACCACAACCAGTGTATGTCAATAACACTTTGAAACTTGTTCTCTCACCCGGCTGTAAATGTCTGTTTTCTGATTTTCTAAATTGTTGCTGTACCATGTGAGCCTCCTGAATAATAAAGGGTTCAGAGCACACAGCCTCTGTCCGGCTTCCTCTCACATGCAGAGCTGTGCCAGCAGAGGGCAGCAGAGACACACCGCGTTTTCCTTCTTCCAGGTCCCTGTCTCAAAGTCAATGATTTGTTTGAATTGATTTTGGTTGGATTCCTGAAATAAGGTATGTGGTCTAATTTGAGTTATACGACATCAAATATGTCAATAAATACCCCACTGATTCAAGATTCAAAGGTTCAAAGGCTTGTTGTCA